TCCTTCCTTCCTTCCTTCCTTCCTTCCTTCCTTCCTTCCTTCCTTCCTTCCTTCCTTCCTTCCTTCCTTCCTTCCTTCCTTCCCTTCTTTAATAGAGCTGGAAAGGATCTTTGAGGTCTTCTAGTCCACCCACCTTCTCAAGCTGGAAACCCTATATGATTCCAGACAAATGGTTGTCCAATCACTTATTGAAACTTCTAATTGTAAGTCACTCCGCTGATTAACTCTTCTCACTGTCAGGAAATTTCTCCTTAGTGTAATTCTATGTTCTCTCCCTGATAGGTTTCCATCCATTACTCCTTGTCCTGCCCTCAGAATCCAGGGCAATTGCCAGCAACAAAGCTACTTTCATATGGGAGAATACAGAAAATATTGATTAATAGAGTTGGAAGGAACTTGTAGGTCATCTAGTCCAACCTCACGCCCAAGCAGACCCTATACCATTTTTGAAAGATGGCAGTCTAGTCTCTTCTTGAAATCTTCCAACGATGAAGCTCCCACAAAGGCAAACTGTTGCATTGGTTGATTGTTCTCACTGTCAGATAATTTCTCCTTATTTCCAGGTTGAATCTCTCCTTGTTCAGTTTCCATCCATTCTTCCTTGTCTGGCCTTCACATGCTTTGGAAAATAGCTTGACCCCCTCGTCTCTATAGCAGTCCCCTACTCAATCCTTAGGAAAGGGATTGAAAAGTAAATCTGCTTGTTATGTCACCAAGACCTCCTTCAAAACTAGAATGCAACTTATATAAAGTGGTACTTCTTTCTTATTATATCTACAAAATGATTTTAGGATAGATTTGGGATGATAATATGAACTGTTATAAAATAAACTAAGTAAATTATGATTATCTTGTAAAACATGAATGAATTAAAGTATAGTCAAATGATTGATTAATAATGATTCCAAAGTATTTAATTTTTGATTGAAAATATGAGATTATATGCAATGCAATCGTAACTGAAGACCACGAAATGGAAGCACAAAACAATTTGTACAACCAACCGGCACACTGTATGTACACATATGGAAGATAGCTTGATGTTTTAATGTTTTGTTTATGTTTGTTTTTAAAAACCAATAAAAAAATTTTTTTAAAAAAAACCTAGAATGCAACTATTTTGTGCCATTTTTCTCATCATGTTTAAAGGACCAGGTTGTAGAAAATTACAAAATACGAAGGGCAAACTTCTCATAGAGTAAATTTCCCTGCTGCTGAGTGAAAATCTAGACCTCACTCCCACCTTTTTTTTTTTTTTCCTCCAGAAGGCTGCATTTTGGAATGATGGACATGTTAACCCAACACACCACTTAAGGTTGTCTAAAAGACAACCAACGCTTCTCGTTCTTTCTTCATCCATTTGTGATAGACCTTCTCAGTAAAAATGGGCAGGTACCTCATCTGCTCTGTTCAAGAGAGAGACAGGCATGGCAACTCTTATCTCACGATAGAGTGGAAAGTCTTACAGTTCAGTGCCAGGCACTGCTTGTTAACAATTGATGTGTATACTGATACTGAACATGCAAACCAAACAGCTCAATTCTAAATCAGCAATGTTTAAAGAACAGCATAAATGAAAATGGAGTCCTTTTCCCCTGTGCTCCTCTGGACAAGCTCAGCCTTCAGGGGAAGTAGAAACTGGTATTTCTCAGCCTGACTTCTAAGCGTTGGAAAACATTATTTGTTTAGAATCCGGTCTACTCTAAGGGAAGTACCTTCCCTCCTCTCGTTTTCAGCTGAAGCACAATGTTCGCAGAAGTGGATGATCTATAGGATTTCTGAAAAGAGCCAAAAGTGCCATGGGATTTTCTGCAGGGAGCAAAGTCAGCTCTTGATGTCCAAATTAAGTCCCGTCACTGATTGCCTTCCTGCTACCTTCCCCATTCATCCCCGTCCTTCACTAGAAAAATAAGCCAGTTTTGCCCAGTATCTATGCTAGGATTCTAGGTTCTTCTAATTGTATATGGGAATGAACTGGGGAGGCATGGCAAAGAGATGCTGGCTAAGGAACAATCAGATAAGAGAGAGCACAGCCCACAGCAATGAAATTAAAAGACGTTTTTAAAAAAGCAGAGACATCAGCTTCCCATCAAGGGTTCATAGAGGCAAATTACTACTGGTTTTCCCAATGGTCATGTATGGCTGTGAGAGTTGGACCGCAGGGAAGGCTGAGCGCTGCAGGATTGGTGCTTGTGAATCGTGGTGCTGGAGAAGAAGATTCTTGAGAGTCCCTTGGACTGCAAGGAGATCCAATCAGTCAATCCTGAAGGAAATCAACTCTGATTGTTCTTTGGAAGGATAGATCTTGAAGCTGAAGCCCAAATACTTTGGCCACCTGATGAGAAGAGAGGAGTCCTTGGAGAACACCCTGATATTGGGAAAGATGGAAGGCAAAAGGAGAAGGGAACGGCAGAGGACGAGAGGATTAGATGGTGTCATCCAATGCCATGAACATGAATTTGGGCAAATTCCACGAGACAGTGGAGGACAGAGCAGCCTGGGATGCTGTGGTCCACGGGGTCCTGAAGAGTTGAACATGACTTAGAAACTGAACAGCAACAAAAGCCCAGAGCAGCACAGTGTATGGAAGTAGAAGCTCAGAAGGGGCCTTCCGTAGCTTCTCAGCCTGTAAAAGAGACAGAAGGAGATGTGTACTTTTAGACTTGCAAGATTCTGTTCATGTAGCTTTACAATAAAGTAGAATTAGCTTATCTAGCCGTGTTTCCTGTCTGATTCACCTGGTAAGGCTGCCAGGGCCATAAGCCGGATGTGCAGTCCATCTGGTCTCCACACAGCCGTCCCAGGGAGTCCCTGACCTTGTCCCCAAATCCCGTCCTTCCTGACTCTCATCCCTGCTTGGAAAGAACGCCAAAATATGCCTGGCCTTGTGTCTCTTGTTTCTGTTTTTCTACCTGAATTTTAGTAAGATTTCATTCCAATTGCAACTGTGATTTTAAGGTGACTCTATTCTGGAGCGGTTCTGAGCAGCTTGAATATCTTTTTGGCTTTTTTAGGAGATTGTTCCACTGACAAAGTCATCCCATGAACCTATCTAAGTGGTATGTTTCACATGGATCTCCCCAAGTCTGGTCCAATACCATAGACCACGGATGTCAAACTTCATTTCATTCAGAGCCAAATCAGGGTTGTTTCTCACCTTGGGAGGCCAGGGTGGGCGTGGCCAAACTTGACATCACTTGTGTCAGGGGGCACCTGTGGTGGCCTGAGCAGTCTGCCAGCGAAAATGGGCTCCCGAACTCTATTTTGGCTGTGACGGCCGCCTGCAACCCTCTGGAGGTTGGGAGTGCCGCCTGTGGCCCTCACAACCTCCATTTTTGGCTGTGACGGCCACCTGAAACCTTCTGCCAGTGAATTTGGATCTCAAGAGGGCTGCATGCAGCCTCCCGAGCTCCATTTTCCCTGGCAGAGGCACCGTGAGCCGGTCATCTGCTGTTTTCAAGGTGGCCCCACGGGCCAGATCTAAGCGCCTCGAATCTGGCCCCCGGGCCTTGAGTTTGACACCCCTGCCATAGACCAACAATTCTCAATACTGGCAACTTTAAGATTTGTGCAGAGGTGGTATTCAGCAGGTTCTGACCAGTTCTGGAGAACCGGTAGTGGAAATTTTGAGTAGTTTGGAGAACTGGCAAATCCCATCTCTGACTGGCCCCACCAACCCCATCTATTCTCTGCTTCTTGAGTCCCAGCTGATTGGCTGGGTCTTCTTTGGTTGCCCTGCACAGGAGAACGGAGCTGGAAAGCAGGTTTGTGGGGTGGGAGGGAATGGGATTTTACATTATCCTTCCCCTGCCACGTCCACCAAGCTACACCCACCAAGCCACCAAGCCATGCCCACAGAACTGGTAGTAAAAAAAATTTGAATCCCACCACCAGATTTGTGGATTTCCAAATTCTGGAACAAAATTCTGGGACTTGAAGTCTATTCATCTTTAAGTTGCCAAGGTAGAAAAACAGTGCCCTAGACTTAAATCCCATAGCAGTTTGGTGGAAAAAAGACAGTATAACGCCTTTCTCTAAAGTCATTTTTCTATTGAGAACTAGTTCGTCTAGCACAGCAAGTATTTTGTAAAACTCCCTGCCACCACCTTCCTGTACTATTTATAGTTATATTTATAGTTCAGGATTGGACTGTGGGGCCTTTGGTGCTCTCTGAGTTTGGTCGTTTGCTTGCAGGCATTTCATTACCCAACTAGCTACCATCATCAAGTGCTAGGTTTGATTATTGGTATAATAGCACCGATGAAGTTACGTAGTTGGATAATGAAATGTCTGCAAGCAAACAACCAAACTCAGAGAGCACCAAGGACTCCACCAGCTTCCTCCTATCCTGTTTTCCTTCTCAGCCATCTCTCCACCTTCTTTGATGCTTGTACAAGACTTTTGTTCCCTATGCTTGGTGACTGGGGAAATTCCGTTCTTTTGTTCAAAGAT